CAAAATTGCTTCATCTTTATACATATTATTTCCAAATACTGAATTTGCGATTTCTGACACTCCTAAAAAGAATTTTTTATATTTGACTACGGATTACTTTTTAAGATATATTATAATGTTTTGTATTACTTTACTTTATGTTCTGACTGACTTAGTAAATTTTAATTTTTAATTTATGATAATTGATTACGTATTGTATGTTTAAGATATTTTTTTACGATTTTTGCGTATGACTCATGTAGAAATTGTTGATTTATCACACTTTATACCGCATTGATTTTTTATTATTATTATTTTGATTTCATACTGTAGAATCTGGATTGTTTCTTTTATGAGAAGGACGTATTAATGTTACTTGCATGATAGCGTTACCTCAGCGTTCGTGTTACATTTATTTTACATCTTACATTATCGATCTGTGAAGTACATCCGAGTTTTAACGATGGACAGCTACATACATTTGTTGTTGAATATTCAACGAAATTCAATTTTTCGACTTGATTACTTGGATCTACCGTATGACACCTACACACTACATTAAGACCTAAACATCGTAAGGTCTACGTTTTAATTATTCTTTATGCTTTGTAATTATATATTTACTTATTTATATTATTTTATTTTTATCTATTATTTATTTTAAATTCGAACTTTGAAAATGACCCGAAGGTGGTTGGAACGTTAGTAGACATATGTTTTTAGGTTGATTTATTTTTATTTCTGTATTTAAGACCAAGAATATTATATTATATTAAGATTTTGGCTTGTTTGGCTCGTAGCTGTTCTTGATTTATTTTTCTATTTGAAAATTTTTTGAGCCATTCTCTATTACTTATTTTTGAATACCTAAGGTCGTATTTGCGAGGTTGTTGTGAGGCCTAAATATTATCATTGTACATACAAGCATTTTGCTATTATGTCGATCTATTGATCATTGCAGCAAACGTTTTCTGTGTAGCAGACAATTTGGTAGCAAGTACAGTTTCAGCAAACCATATTTAGCTGTGGTAAAGATAGTTTTCTTTTACACTGACATATCCGATAACTATGATAACTAACTTCATGCTGCTAAATAAATTTATCTGTAACAGACATGCATACTTTGCTATCACGTCCTTATATTAGCTACAGCAGTCAATTATTGGTATGTATTATATTAGCAAATTTCATAGCTATATAGTAGCTAATGCAATTTCAGCTAATCAGAATAATTAGCTGTAGTCAGCAACATTTTTTCTCCGTGCAATTCTTTGCAAAAGTAAATCCGCTTGCAACAATTTGTAAATCATAAATAGGTAGAGAACGCCAATAATCGGTCAAAATTGGATGTTATATGAATACAACATATATTCTTAATTTAAATTTAATTATTTCAGATGTGATCGTACCGAAACGTTCGGACATTAAACACAATCAATCTGAGACGCTGATAATATAAATATGATAAGGCGCCGAAACATTTGGACATTCCTATATATATATATGAAATGATCCCCTCCTAATTCAATAAAGAACTTATTGCGAAAAATATTACCTCAGCCAGGATATGAACCTCTCGACTTTCCGGGGCGAGTGTCCTAGCCAACTCGACCACTGAGGCTTCTATATCAGAATTAAAATATTTAAGAATTAATTTAGTGAGGATTATTTCATAGGGTAACTCCGGCAAATACGCCGCCCTGGGATTTACGCCGCAGAAGTCAGAAAAAATAGAAGGAGTGGGGGTAATTTTTCCGTAACTATTCTATTACATGCCTTTATGTTATATTAGTATTGTGTTATGATTTCAGTTTCTTACTGTTAATATTAATGACATTATTGTGAGTTGAGAATCGATTTGTCACTGTGTTAAGTAGCGCCATCATAAATTAAAGTCTACATAAAATGATTACTGTAGGACGTGTAAAAGAGATTAGTGGTTATTTCGTGATATATACGTATAGTGGAATAGCAAAGCACGTTGTATAGCAAAATACAAGTGCTTTGCTTTCGTACTCTTTGTTTAATTTATTGTCTTGTATATCCCACCCGTTTGGGATATGCGGCATTTTTAGCGACCGGGATTTATGCCCAAAACATACAAAGTGTGCAGATTGAATTCAGTGCACTAAATACAATAAACGCATTACATGAAATATGCACCTCATGTCATAACACTTTTAATACATCTGGGAAGATTGTGTAATTATTATTTATTATTTCATATACTTATTTACCATTCTTATTTCTTAATAAAACTTTATGAACACATTTTATAAGTTATTATGTCATTTTACGTGCATTATTTATATGCATTATTTATAAATTTTTCATGAGCCATACATACCCCCCCTCCCCCTATGAGTAGCCATATATCCCACCCCTATGGGATATACGGCAAAAATGCAAGGTTTTCAAAAAGTTATTTTTTAAGTGCATAGGTTGCAAAACGATCATGACTTTGATTGGCAAAACGTAGAGATATTGGATGTAGAAAATTATTATAATAAAAGGTTAATATCAGAGATGATGCATATTAATCGACAAACCAATGGGCTGAATCTACAAAATGATACCATTGGTTTAAATCATGCGTATATTGAAACTCTCAATAAACTTTAAGGCTTATTCGTAATACAATATATGTCATAAACTTGTTTGTCTTCAAATTGACCGCTATGTTATTTGTTTAGCAATCATTATTTAACCGACTGTTGAAATGACAAGACACATATTGTTCTTGCAGTTATATTTTTTAAAATTTGACGATAATTTATAACATATTAACTAGTTACAAAATGTTAAATAAGAGAGATTCATTGTTCAGTGTAGAAGCGTCGACTGTGTGAGGTGAGGTGATTATTAATTTTCAAATTATACATACGATAATTTAATCTTTCATATAATTTTAGCTTGAGTTCTCATTGCCACTCAGCTTTCTAACTTTGTGAGTATGTGACTTACCTCACAACAGTAAACGGTTCAATTTTTGAGATGAAAAACGTTGGAGATATCACTTTGTTATACAATACTCCAATCGTTACGCTAGGGTGACAGATTGCTGATGAAGACTCAAACCATGAGTGGAAACGTTCAAAGTTAAGGTTTACATTTTTGGTATTAAGAAAAATTGCGCTAATTGATCTAACCAGCGTCGACTCCTATTGCCTGTATTACATATTTCATGATTTTATTAATTGTTCTAATTAAAGGAGTCTGTAAAAACTTATTAATTTTTTCGTTAATTTGTGATTTATCATTGTTTATTTTTTAATATGAAAAATAAATATTTCGGATTTCTAATATTTTTTTCATAGTAGTAAACAGTACAAAGTTTTTACTGATATAGTTCGTTTACTTTAAACATAATAAATAATTCTTAATAAATTAAGTATTTGATAAGTGCGGCGTATATAACGGACTACCCTATAGGAATGTCCGAATGTTTCGGCGCCTTATCATATTTATATTATTAGCGTCTCAGATCGATTGTGTTTAATGTCCGAACGTTTCGGCACGGTTACAATATCTGAGATAATTAAATTTAAATTAAGAATATATATTGTATTCATAACATCCAACTTTGACCGATTATTGGCATTCTCTACCATATTTATGTACCATAGATCAAACATTCCCATATTTTTTAATGGTGGAAGATTAAGCCGAAAATTGACAGTTTACATAAGTGACCGTCAATGATGGTTTCGTGCTATCTTTACTTTCTCTAAAGACAGAAACAAACGCAACGAATTATAGATCCAATTAAACTTCCTATGAGTTACAAACAGATACCTACTTGGTTTATGTATATATATCGTAGATTTATACATTATCATCATATTATAAACTTAATTTTAATCCCCAGAAGAAATCGATTTTGCAATATAGTGTTTAAAATATTATCGATTTTAAAAACACATAACAAATAACAATTATCCAAACATTTTTATAAGTACTATATAAATACATAGTAGTTTGATGTAAAATAAAAAAATTCGTTTATGCAGTTTCTTTTTTAATAAGCAGTATTTTAAAAAATAACTAAATCTTTTAGGTATATCTGTACCTGTATCTGTACTTAGATAATTTTTAAAAGATATGATATTTCATAGGACCGCGCGCGCGCGCGCGCGCGTGTGTGTGTGTATGTGTGTGAGAATACAATCTATAGAAATCAATGCCTCAAACGGTCTAGCTGGATCTTAAGTGCTTGTATAGTTCTGTGTGAATTTATATACTACGTATGCAGTCCTTTAAAATGCACGCCGAAATGATATTTCGGTCTTGTAACTCTACTAAATTTTTAAAAGATGTATTTATATAATATATTAGGTACTTTTCTCACAATGTATTTCGCACCTGTATCTGTACTTAGATATCTTTCAAAAGGTACCTATTACAATACTGCATAATATACAGTGAGTGCAAAAAGTATTCGTACAGAGAAAGTTTTTTAAAAAAACTTTATTTTTAAAAAGTAAATATTATCTAGCGAGGAATAAGTCATCAAATTGATGTCGAGTCGATATAAATACAATGATTTCAACATTAATTTGACGTCGAGTCGACGTTTAATTGACGATCATTTTTTGGATAATTAACAATAAAATAGATTGTATGTTTCTTAAAATTATATATACCAAAAAGATGTGTATTAATTATACAAAATATATCATCTGAAAAATAAGCGAAAATTAAAAATTGTATTGTTTGAATGCTTAAAAAATATTCGTACAGACGAGAAATTTAATTTCTAAAATCAAAGATACGTGTGAAGCTCGTTTGTTTATGTTAGAACAGAATGTATTTATTGTGTAAAATTGCTAATTAATGTTTATTTTCTACAAAAAAGACTTTTTTTATAACAAATTTTCTTGTACGAATACTTTTTGCTATTACTGTACGTATATTAGTCCAAGCAAATTTCAATCAATCGTATGATGGAATAAATAGTGGAGAATCGTAATTATCTTCGCGATCGCGCAAGAATCTGATTGTACATTATTTTACTTTGAAAGAAGGCCATCCTCATCATATCGCTTACATCGTCCTTCGATATGCAAGAGAGTTGGCATTCGTGAAGACGAGAAAGCTGAACAACGAGCGGGTCCGATCAAAATGGCAGTTTCCGAACACATGGAGAACGGGAAAAGGTTTGTTCTTTTTTTCGTATTTAATTTTACATTTTCACTGATTTGCGGGATATCCCGGATAAAAATTATCTTTCTTTTAATTCCGATACAACATTACAAGTTCTTTTTCGAATGGAAAGAACGTTATTACGTAAACAATCATTCTTCTGATTATAATTTTAAAATAAATATAAAGTAACTTAGATCTTTATTTACAAGTGAGTATCATCTGTAAGTATCTAAAATGTAAATTTAAAAAATATTAATTTTCTAAAATTTACAGCAAAATTATTCGTAAAAGATACACACGTGAAATAAGGAATTTTATCATTACTTTTGTAAATAAACGAAAAGATTTTTATAAATAAAAAATTGCACATGCAATTATTGGCCTTGACTTATGGAACTTTGTTCAATAGTGAATAATTGAAGGAATGTAGCACTTAATAAGTGTCTTTTCCGTATTAAGACTTTAATTATGTAAAACGTTGTGTAGGTAAGATACATAATAGTAACCACAAGATTTTTTTTCGGTAAAATATTATTACTTCTTTTATTAAAAAAAAAATTGTAATTTATGTAATTTAATTGCGAATAACTCTCTTTTTTAACCTTAATTGATATTCGCTCCGAAATTTCCTTAATTAGTATTCGCAAATCTAGTCAATTCAGTGTACTATGATCGGCCGACAGATTTTATTCATATTGCATTTGCATTACAGTTTTGATGCAAATATTCAAGATATATAGAAGGAACTCAGCGCTAATAATATGCAAATGAAAACAAACCGAGAGCCTGAAAATCCATTACTTAAAATGTAGTTCACCGACTTTCACGGTGACTTCACGCCAAGCTGCACATATGACTTCCTGATCGTGAACATACTTATGCGTAAACTTATCAACCTTGAAGTGGCCGGATCTAAAGAATTAAAAGTAAAATCCAAGGTATCACCGCCACATCTAAATTGCTTTTCAGGGGAACCCCTCCTAAGAGGTTTTCCCTTGTAGCAAGGAAAACGACGTGTCAATGACATAATTTCGCGAGTTTCCGTAAGATCAATATATTCAACCGCAGTTTTGTCGTATCTTATCAAATCTTAAGTTCTTTATCAAATTAAATAACAACGAAACTAATAATATGATATAAATAAGCTTCTACTATCTTACTCTTGTTTCACGTAAAAATAGGTTATCAAAATATCAAAATTTTATATGTTGAAATAAATCTATGTATAATCTACGTATATTAATTCATTCTTACGTGATCATAACATAATCATTAACTATGAATACAGTTGTTATTATTCACTCTTTACTATCTCGTCATCTAATTACTAGCTTTCATTCTAAAAATAAGATTATTTTATCAGTCAAATATAAATGTAACAATAACATTTTTTATTAATTAATCAATAAAAATTAACACATAAGAACCAGTGATTGATTCGTTATTCGATTAAATCGAAGGTTGAATTCATAGCCCTCGATTTTACATATATTTTGAATTTATCGAGTCTTTTCATAATTATTGTCATTTCAATAAAAATTAATTAATAAGAATACAAAAAAAATTTTATGCATAAAATATCAACAAAAATGGCAAAAAAATTAAAAGCGAACAACTATTGAGTATTTCTTAAGCACGATATAATCAGTTTACATCCGCTCACATAAATTAAAATTTATAATGTTTCAAGACTGAGTCCATACTGTACGTTTGTGATAAACTTGTATGTTTTCAGCCTTGACTTTTTACAGAAAAAAAGAAATAATACTTTAAATTTATTTGCGAATATAAGTTCTACAGGCTTAGGTGAAACTGCAGGACATTAAGAAGATTGCAGGATGTAAGATATTATTGAATTGCCAGTTATTTCATCATCCCTAAGAGTCGTGTCTTATTCGTTCCCGCAAAATCTAAATTATTATGTGTCGCGGTTACTTACATAATACATCATATTTCACATTTGGCCTAAGAACAAAGATAACGTAACTAATCGTCGAACATGTGGTCACCGAATTAGTATAATTAGAATACAACTAAATTAAGAGCAAAAAATTGGATTCGATATGGTCGCATATCTTAGCACATAAAAAATTTTTTGTAATCAAGAAAGCTTTATAAAATACTAAAAGTGCCAATGTTTCTTTGTTTTAACTATAAGTTTAATTCTAAGAGTAATATTCATTATAATTCGATCTTATTAATTATATGTATATCTTCAGAAAATTGTATTTCTTGATAATCAATCTTGTTCGATTTATAAAATTTTTCATCAAGAGTATTTTAAAAAATCGTATTATGAAGAAAAAATTATCCTCGAACGGAATCAGTGTTCGGGTCTTAAAAGGTTAAAATTTAAGATCTTGAAATAAGAACGGATTATTAGTACAATCTTAAATATCACGGTTTTAAATATCATTGGTTCTTATATTTAAGACCGTCTTAAGTACAATCTTAAGATGTTATAAACCAGTCAATGTCATAAACTAGTACAGATAATCCGTTCTTATTTCAAGATCTTCTTAGAGTAAAATTTTGTCTTCATAATACGATCTTTAAAAATTTTTCTGATGAAGAATTCTGTAAATTGAACAAGATTGATTATTAGGAAATACGATTTTCTGAAGATATACATATAATTAATAAGATCGGATTATGAATACCGGTCTAAGAAAATAAATAAAATCTAAGTTTCCGGATTTCATCCGCCGACTTTTCATTGTTAACTTTTAATTGCGATGATCAACAAGTAGAAACACAATTTGTTTATTTTATAAATACAAAATTAGATAATAAATATGCAAATGGGAAATCCGGGATAAAGATGCAAATTGAAATATAAATCACGTCTTATTGAAAGATAAGATCAAAAGATACGATCACGTGTCTTATACTACATGTACGTGCGGCAGCCACAAGACAGATTATGTGTCTATATACGAATCCCTTAGTTAAGTCAAGATATGATTATCAAATCTCAATAGTTATTGCAAAGGAAAAGTGTTTTTAGGCTTGCTTTCTATGCAGCACGAACAGAGATATTAAAACGCAAAGTCTATATAAGAAAAGTTTATATAAGAAAGTTTATATAAGAAAAAAAATGTTCTGATTAAATCAATAAAAGAGCCCAACATAAATAGCATTTTGATGAAACTGAACAGAATTCATGATTCTTATATTTCTCAGAAATTCTATTTGTCTTCACTAAAGTGTCATTTTTGTTGGACTCTTTTGGTTTAATGACAACACTTTTTTTAGTGTATAAATATATACTTAAGAAAGAATTTAATATTTTTTTTAAGTAAATTTAATCAGACGGTGTACCGTCAATTGAAAGTTGTTAATTACAAATCTCGAGACTAATTACCTTAACGCCTATTAAGTGACAGCAGACTATAATCTGCTGTTCGCAAATGGGTCACTGCCCGAAAATCTCATTGTATTAATACCGCCTTCGCGAGATTAATTAACATTTTGCGCGTCAATCTGAGCTCCCTGCGAGACGAACCTGGCTTTGCATTCAATCAGATGACGGCGAGAAATCTCATTAATAATCGCTTTAGCAATATCACTATGAGTCTTCGAACCAACGGTGACATTAATGACTCGTATCATGAAAAACCTTGACCCAACGCGATCAGATCCCGGAAAACCGCACTTTTGCAGACTTGGCATGATTACTATGCGACACGAAACGACACGTAATGCGTAATGACAGTACTAATCGACGAAGATAATATCAGCACTTAACTATGATATTCACAGTATTTCTTCGCTTTTGACAATTAGTTGACATGCGATAAGTTGCAATACAACTCGAAATAGGAATTCAAGCAAAATAAAAAGTCATCATGATATCAAAATGTTTCCAAAATAACTATTAAAAGATATAAAAGAAATGAATATTAAAAACCATTTTTTGATCAATCACATTCGCATTTTGATGTTACCGTGACTTATGCCCGTATTCATAGTCAGGCTTTATATTTAAGGCTTCCTTAAATTTATCTTCAGATACTATACGAATTATTTCATTGGCTATTGAGCATCTAAAGATAAATTTAAGGAAGCCTTAAGTACAAGGTCTGACTATGAATACGAGCATTATTCTACTTGAGAAACATCATGAAACGATGTTATCTATGAGGAGAAAAATGACTCAGAGCAAAATATTCTGCGCATATTTCTTACGTACGTATTTTATGAATATTCATGCAAATCTCATTCACGAATCGTTTAAATCTCGCTGACGAAGATTTTCTGATGAAAAAAAGAGATGTGGCCTGTTACATGTAATATAGCAGAATTTTTATAGATATAATAGAGTCGACCAAAGTAATAAAATGATGCAAACATTCGGAGTGAATTTTCATGTAATTTGTCTAATGCCATAAACGTTTCGACATAAAAAGAATATAATACGTTTCTATTCTTTAAAAGTAAATATTACGCAACATTCGAATAATAGCTGAGCATCCGGATAGTGGATTCATTCAAATAATGGAGCTTCGGCTAACAGGCGTTCTATTACATTCTCATATCCTTTGTTACAAAAATAAATTGCAAAACAGTGACCATAGGATAAAGTCATTTACTGAGACTTAAACGATTTGCATCGAGTCTTTAGACAGTCTTTTGAGAAAATCTCATTTTCTCCTTAACAAATTTTAGACTACGAACTAGACAAGGTAATTCTTCTAGAAGTTTTTGCTGCTGAGAAAACGCGAATTCATTAATGAAATTGCTCTATCATTTAAATTTTTCAAAAAATTGAACTTATATCCGTTTCCGCCAATGTAGTTTAACTTTAATTGGTTCTTAAATTTTAAATGGACTTACTTTTTTATCTTTTCTATATCCTTTCAAAACTAAAAAAACATGAAAAATAAGTTGAACTAAAATTAAAATTAATCTACATTAATAAAAAAGTGCTAAAAATAGCATTTCTTAGTTCTTTTGAGCTTAAAAAATTGACATAATAAAACAATTCTACAAACGAATTAGCGTACGCGCG